ATGTCCTGAGTCGTACAAAACATAGACATCCAAAAATTCGAAGATGACTAAGATCTGGTGCTTTGTGATTTAGAACTTCAAATGGAGACTTACCACCAAGTAGTTTGTTGGGAGTACGGTTAATTAAATAAACAGCAGTACGAACACATTCCCCCCAGAATTCAATAGGTAAGTGAGCTTGAAACATAAGGGAGCGGGCAACATTTAATATGTGTCTATGTTTTCGTTCTACCCGACCGTTTTGTTGTGGAGTACCTACACAAGAAGTTTGAACAAGAACACCCAAAGTGGCATAATATGACCGAAGGTCTTGATTGACAAATTCGGTGCCATTATTAGAACGAACAATTTTTATGGTTTTATGAAATTGGGTCTGTATCACGGAAAAAAATTGTTTCAAACAACTAGGTACTTCAGATTTATCAATGATCAAATAAGCCCAAACTGCACGAGAATGGTCATCGACAATAGTGAGAAAATAATGTGCACCAGTAGCTAAACAAGGAGTGTAGGGACCCCATAAATCACAATGAATTAGATCAAAAACACTTGTAGCTTTATTGGAACTAATAGGAAAAGAGCTACGAACTTGTTTGGATTGGAAACAAATTTCACATGATTGTAATAATTTAAGTTTAGAGCTACTGGCAGAAGGAATAAGAGACGACAAAACTTGAACAGATGGATGCCCCAAGCATTTATGAAGGAGAGAAGGATCCACTTGGGTAGCAAATGCTGTAGAGCATGGACGAAACAGGAAAACTCCATTGTGTGCATCACCCCGTCCAATCTCCATCTTCGTGACACAATCCTGTATGACACAACAATTTTTGTTAAAAATAACAAGACAAGAGGTATCTCGAATAAGACAACCAACAGAAATAAGATTGCACTGCAGATGAGGAACAAGCAAAACGCCCCGAAGCACTACTTCGGGTGAGAGCCGCACACGGCCACATCGAGTGGCTGTAGTCTGTGTGCCATTGGGCAACGTGATGACACAGGGGACCATGGGAACTACATCAGTTAAAAAAGAGATATTACCAGTCATGTGATGAGAGGCACCACTGTCAATAAGCCACTCACGAGCCGATGCATCACCATTAGACCCAGTATCCTTGTCGGAAGAAGAGACGTCGAGCATGGAAAGTAACCGAGTCATCTGATCAGGTGTGAGGCCTAGGGCGTTGGAATTGGTGGCTGCATTTGCTCCCCCTTTCGCCGATCCTATCCCTCGGTCAGACCCACGGCCAGGGGCGCTACTGCCGCCGGACGGCGTTCTGCCACCGCCGCGACTCCCTTGGCCGGATGCAGTGTCGCGACCTCCACGGCCCTTCCCGGGCGGATACCCATGCAATTGATAGCACCGATCCACGGAATGGCCGTCTTTTCCACAATGTGTGCACGAATAATGGGGGGGTCTCCACGACCCAAGGTAGGAGCGGGACGCTGCATGGCAAAGGCGAGAGCGTCCGTACGGTCATCTCGGCCACGGACAATGCTCTTATGCCGTTCC